GGGGTACCGCCCATCTGTTTAAATGTTAGTAAGGATGACTCACAGTGTTAGCATGACCGTGCAGAGGGAGGGAGAGGAGCCAACGTGGTCAGTTACAGCAGCTTGTCTAACGTGGTGTTTTACTAAGCTACCATAATGCTATTCATCCAGGACACATAGGACCAAAGAGGTAGTGTGCAAATGCTGACTGTGACACCCCCCCCCCCCACCCCATGATGCGCAACAGCAACGTCCTGCTGGAACACAATGAAAATTCTAATATTTGGGGAAAAGCATGGATGGTCAGATTTTCAGTGAGGTTGAGCACTTGCCAGTTCTCTATCTTATCTGTCCTTTATTTGTGGGCTGTTTGCCCAACAATCCTATTTATTTAGCAGCACAGGTGCCAAGAAATGAAAATCCCTCAGTCAGCAATATTGACTGACAGGCTGCAGGCAGCACCTCCTCAGCATTTACAAAGAGAGGAGCAGAGTCGATGTTTCCAACATTAAAAATAACAATTACAAACTCTCACTGACTTTCTTTGCTGCAGGATAGAAAGCAACAACAAAAGAGATTGTGTTGTCCTTGGAAGAAGAAGAAACGTCTTAGACAAATTGTGTATCTCAGCCGGTTTGGTTCTGTGCTATACACATTCCCTGAGCTCTGTGCAAGTGAGTGTACATGAGCGCATGCTAATCGATGACCTGTATTCAATGTGGAAGCAATAGAAGTATCCATGAGTACTGGCCAATATCAGTTTCCCCATGGGGAGTGGAATCTGGTGTGCATTATGTAGCACTTTTATTGGTGGCAGGAGTGGTGCAGACTTTTCAACAAAGGTCAGCTTGGAAGCACAAGGTTTCTCTGACTGCTCTGCATCTCCCTGCAAAAAACACACTTGGGAACAGGTTAGCAGGAGTGTAGCAAGAAAAAATACCTGAAGTACTGAGGACTTTTTTCCTCCAGCTAAGTGTAAAGCACATGCAGACCCCTAAAGCAAAGCACAGTATTAAAGGTGAAACTGGGGACAGCAAAGAAGCTTCTTTACCATTTTAATAAATACCAATAATTCCCTTTTGCCCAAGTCCCATATTCCCAAACTCATTAAAGCAATTTTGGAAATTTTTTTGGCTCTGGAACGTATAAGCAAAACTCAAACCGTGCAGTCCCTTGAGAATCACTTGCACAAATTGCATAGGTCAGGCCAAAATAAGTTTCTGTCAAACAGCCTAACACCTAAGCTTATTATGAAACTGGTGACTTGTACAAAGGGTCTGTACGTGGGACAGTCTGAGAATGAATTTAGGGGGTGGGGGTATGTCACAGCACTTGTTTTGCTTTGGTCCCACTGAAAACTCAAGTGATATTTTTACTGAATGCATTGCTTCTGTTAGCCAGAACAGTTCCTATAGGCTGTGGCTAAGCTGGTGGACCCAGAGCGCTCCAGAGCTCCATTGTGCGGGCGGGTGCACACCTCACTCTGGTCCCAGGACAGGCAGGAGGGTGCACCAGCACTCTCTCCATTCCTGTCCACTCCTCACTGCCTGTTCTCCTGGGAGGAATCCCAGGGTGCATCCCTGGCAGGGGATACAGCACACTCTGTTCTGCTCTGCAGCTGCCCCACTGTGCTGGTCTCAACCCTTCATTTGGCAGCTATTGTGTGGACTTTAAAAGTACAAGATAGAGAAGACCTGTTTGAGCTTGTTGTCTACTGCTCTGCCAGGCTGTAGTTGTAGTGAGGTGAGGTGAGTTGGTGGGAGGTGAACTCTGCTTGTGGGGGTCACCACAGCCTCTGGAAACCAAACTGAGATCATTCTTCTCACATTCAGCCTGGTATCTTCTCACATTTTTCTTGTCAAAGGATCACTGAATTGGCTTTTTATGCTATTTTGACCTGTCCTAATGATTCGTCAGTTGTCTTGTGTGAGTGAGTGCTGGTAGATGGAGCAGCTGTGTTTTATGTGGAGAGTAGGATGGGTCAGGGGCTCTGTACTTTAAGCAGGTTTTCTGAGCCCATTTTTCCTGCGCTACAGCTCCCTAGGCTTAGCCTTGTGCTGAGCTGACCATAGAGTCCCCTTTCCCAGAAGCTGATTCATGCTCCCTCACAGTGCTTCTTGCACCCGCTCACAGGGTTACACCCTGTATTTGGGAGTAATTTCTTGAGTTTCTTTGGGGAGGTATGAAAATGTAAAGCACATCATATTCCTCCATGAGCAGTTAACCAGGGAGGCTTGGGAAGAACTTCTTGTCTGTATCTGAGATACATTTGTTGTTGTTTTGTTGTTTTTTTTCCCCTCTTCTGAATAAGTACTGTATGTGTCTGGGAGGATTTTTAAAGCATCCTTCAAGACACAGGGTACTTCTCTCCATGCAGAGCCAAGACAAAAGGATGGGTTCAGGAATGCACAGCTGCTAAAGAGAGGGCAGCTGAGGGCAGCTGGGTGGGAGGAGCAGAGGTGTCTGCGTACAAGAGAGTAGGCAGAGCAAGGGCTTCAAGGTGGCATTTATTGGGACAGAAATGTTTTTTGGGGTAGAACGGGCTTAAAGAGAGGAGGGTTGGAAAACTGACAGTCTAATGATGGAAAACACTGGGGAGCTTTAGGGAAGAGATAATTAGATGGTTTGAGTCCTGGACAAAAGAGGATGAGATCTGTAGGTCAGAAGAAGCTGGTGCTGCCATAAGACAGGCACCTCTGCTTTGGGAGCCTCGGTGTGATGTTCTCCATAAGCGATCGCTGTGAATTCCATCGTTCAAGGCCTTTGGCCTTTTTGCTTGTCGTTAGATAAAAGAAAGTGACAGCTAAAGTTAGAGGAGGGGTGTATGTACTTGTGATTGCCAGAATCACTTAAAATTGGAGGGGCAAGAAATAAAGCCCTATCAATAAAGCCATCCAGAGGGACCTTGACACGCTTGTGAGGTGGGCTGGTGCCAACCTTATGAAGTTTAACCATGCCAAGTGCAAGGTCCTACACCTGGGTAGGAGCAATCCCAGGCACAGCTACAGGTTGGGCAGAGAAGAGATTCAGAGCAGCCCTGCAGACAAGGACTTGGGGGTGTTGGTTGATGAGAAAATGAACATGAGCTGGCAGTGCGCGCTCGCAGCCCAGAAAGCCAACCGTATCCTGGGCTGCATCAAAAGGAGCGTGACCAGCAGGTCGAAGGAGGTGATCCTGCCCCTCTACTCTGCTCTCATGAGACCTCACCTGGAGTTCTGGTGTCCTCAACATACAAAGGACATGGAACTGTTGGAACAAGTCCAGAGAAGGGCCATGAGGATGATCAGGGGACTGGAGCACCTCCTGTATGAAGATGGGCTGAGGAAGTTGGGGCTGTTCAGTCTGGAGAAGAGAAGGCTGCGTGGAGACCTCATAGCAGCCTTCCAGTATCTGAAGGGGGCCTATAGGGATGCTGGAGAGGGACTATTCATTAGGGACTGTAGTGACAGGACAAGGGGTAATGGGTTAAAACTTAAACAGGGGAAGTTTATATTGGATATAAGGAAGAAATTCTTTACTGTAAGGGTGGTGAGGCACTGGAATGGGTTGCCCAGGGAAGTTGTGAATGCTCCATCCCTGGCAGTGTTGAAGGCCAGGTTGGACAGAGCCTTGTGTGACATGGTTTAGTGGGAGGTGTCCCTGCCCATGGCAGGGGGTTTGGAACTAGATGGTCTTAAGGTCCTTTCCAACCCTAACTATTCTATGATTCTTTGATTGGGTGTGATATGGTTCAGACCAAGTGGGAGAATTGACTGTCTTTTCCCTCACAGCTCTGAGGTTATGACTCTGCTTCACTGACCAGCCCAGCCTGATTTTGAAGCTTTATGGCTAGCTATGGATTCATCACTGAAGCACAGGATGCTTCTGCCAAGGCTGATAATCAGCCCTGATGTTTAGAGGCTCCAAACATCTTAAAACTCTTTCCATGCTCCTTGCTGCAGAGGCTCTTCAAGCTCGTGGACTATATCTCCTTCTCTCCCATCCTTCTCATACCTCTCCTGCCTAATAAACAGTGTAAACCATATGCTATACTGCAGAGCAACCTGCCCTGTGAGAATTTAATGTACTAACTTATACTAGCAATGTTTGTTGAGGTACTGTATGTGAAAGCTTTCTTATTTTTGTGCTGTTTGAAAAGGTAGCAAATTACATTTATCACAAATTTCAAGCAACTCATACCTTCTTCAAAACTGATTAACTACTCCCAAGACCACATTCTTAAAAGCTATTTTCAAAAAGCAGTCCTGGCTTTGTTTAATCCATTAATTTTATGATGATTCTTCTTTGTGAGTGGGCCTGCACTCTTTTCCCTATGCTGTACTTAGAAAAATCCTTCTAAATCTTTTGAACTCTTTTTGCCAAAATAACTCACTCTGCCTTTTAATAGTCTGCACTTTTTGCCTTTACAAGCTACTTAATCTGAATGTAATTTTTCTAATTTTCATTCTTTTTTTCCCATTTTCTATGCCCTGGTAACTGCTAACTTACTTTGGAACAAAGGCTTGGTAGAGCTGTGCAGGAGAAAATATCAAAAGCAAGATGAAATTATAATTTTAGAGTAGTTTATTTACAGGTGATAAAACTTCAAAATTAGTTTAAGAGTGTTTAATTTTCTGTCATAGTTTGCAGTCCATCGTCCAGATGCGTTTGTTCCTGAGGGCTGAATTTACAGCAATGCACTGATGTGGAATGCCAGGAAAATTTCCTGCTTTGTCTGTAGAACTCTTTTGCCAGCCACTGTAAGATGCAGAGGTGTGTAGACTGAGACTGGCTGTTACCTTTACATTCATGTTCAGTTGGATGAGCTATACTGGTGCTTTAACCGATAAATAGTAGAGGGAAGGTGATTCATCTGCTTCATGAAAACTTTCTGTTCTACTGATTTATGCAGGAGAGGACAAATGCTGGATTGGATTATCTGTGCCTGCTTGTCTAGAGTTGCCTGTGCCTAGCAATGGCTGGCACGGTAGGGCTTGTTTGGTCTCCGCAGCCTATGACAGCTTGCTTTCCTTTTCTTCTAGGCCTGTCCCAGGTTCTCTGTCTTCACTACTGCACCTACACAACCGACAAAGACAGCCCATGCCTGCCTCTATGCCTGGCACCCTGCCCAACCCTACCATGCCTGGATCTTCTGCTGTACTCATGCCTGTAAGTATTTTGGTTTGGTTTTTTTTGGGGGGAAAGCAGGGGGAGTTGGTTTTTTTGTGCAATTCAACCTATGCAGATGTGAAAGTCTGCAGGATTTTCTAAAGAAATCAAAGTGTGATGAGTTGAGGAATCTGGACCTATTTCACTGCTTCATCTTACACAAGAATATTTCTGGTGTAGTTAATGGCATGTTAATTAGTGTGAGAGTGATTAGAAACAGTTTACATGAGATTACAATTTCTGGTTCTCACACTTGGTCATGTAGGTGAGATCAGTATGTCTGTGCTGGAACAAAAAGATTTTTCTCAAGTCAGACAAAACTGGAAAAGCCATGCACAGGAATTATGCCAATGAACTCTAAGTAATCCTCTTGTTTTTGAAGATAACCAGCTAGCAAGAAAGAAATGTGACTTACTTTTCTGGCCTGGTAATTGCACTTAATTAGAATTGGGTCATGATCGCTGCTCACCTTCCACTCATCTCTACAGAGATGGGAATATTTCCCATCTTCTGGGAGACAAAGGGGTGCTTTGCAATTGTAGCTTCAGATTCTTAAATGAGTTTAACAACAATATAATACATTTGGGCAGGTTGGGGGTGGAGATGAGGAAGGATGGCACAGGGAAGAGGTGACTCTGACAGGAGAAGTTTCTGTTTCATTCCATGGTGATCAGTCTGGGAAGACAAACCTGAGTGTGATTGACCATGGGAGGGAGGAAAGCACTGCTTGTTCTGGCTTTGCTGGAGCAAAGGAAACACTCCAGAGGGCTTCATAGATTCAGGTTTGGCTGCTATTTGAGCAGTCATTAATAAGTCAAGTAATTAGTAACTTGTCAATAAGGCTTTCCTGGAATATCGACCAGGAAGTTCAACAGAAAAAAATACAAGACATGTCTCTGTGGGAGTTTTTTTCTGGCATGATTCCTAAGGAACCTGAAATGGAGCAAACATCCTGCTTCAGTGTAAGCTCAGGGGCTTCGGGTTGCTGCTGGAGAGACCTTTGGGCAGGTCTGAGTGCAGACAAGCAGGTGTGCTCCAGCTGAGAACCCCCTAAAGACATGAACACAGAAGCAAGACAGCCCCAGCTGCAGCTCCTGCCCCAAAGTCCTCCTGAAAGGGCTGCAGAGATGGCAGCAGGAGCTGCTCCTGCCCCATGAAGATGGTGAGGGACCCTGGCAGAGGCAGCTTTTCCCCATCAGCACGCAGTGCGATATTGTCCTCTCTCCCAGGCCCAGCACCCATCACCTCTTCTTGCTGGAATCATGGAGGGTGGAAGCCAAGACCTCACTAAAGGGCACAAAAAATAGTTTCCCAGGTTGGAAGGGCTCAAGAGGATTCAAAACCTTCTTTCTTCTGTGAGCCAAAGACACAGGGGACTGGTCCAAAGCAAGGCAGGATGCTCAGCTCTGGTTGAAAACAGCACCATAATCCTACTTATCAACCCTACCAATGACTAGCAGTGTAACAGAGCTTGCCTCTTCAGGGAAGATACACCAGGAAATTATTTTATCCAGGCCTTACTACCATTAGGTTTTGTTTGAAAATTGCATCCCTCCCTCCCAGCCTAGTGAAATTGCAGAAAGGGCTTGCAGAAAGGGATCTGAATAGCCAAGAGGAGCTCTGCTTTGTTTTTTGCTATCTCAGCAGTACATGAAAGCTTCCCTTACAAGACACATGGAAACCTCTTCTCAGCTGAGCAGTCTGAGTGAATTAAAAAAAAAAGCCAACTCGTTTTTCGTATTCCTGAGATTGTAGATTTTTATTTATGTTTTTAACAAGCTAAGTTGAGCTGCACTGACAGGGGAAGCTACAACTTTATACAAGCGATGCTTTTAAAACCACTTAACTCTGACTGTTGTTATACTGAAAGGGAGAAAATCATTACAAAAAAGCACAAACCTGGGTGGCTGCTACATTTGTTTAGTAAAGAACCTTTTTCTTTATAATTGGCTGTGAGTTTTCAGGGTCGATTCTGATGAAACACACTCCTGCATGCATACACACATGCAATTCACGACACAGATTGTTATTTTTCCAGTCATGACTTGAAGAAATAAAGCTGAGTCCATTTAAATAGAAACTAAGCATAAATTCTTGCAAATGTCTCCAGATGTTTTTAAGACTTCTTTTTTTTTTTCTTTCTTTTAAAAGATGGAGCGACAAATGTCAATGAACTCCAACATCATGGGGATGCAGGGGCCAAACCTCAATAATCCGTGTGCTTCACCTCAAGTCCCCCCAATGCATTCAGAAGCCAAAATGGTAAAAAGAGAAAATAATAATAATAATAAAATGCTTTTCTTGTATTACTCTTGCGTACTGGTTACCCAGACAGTGGGGGATGTAGCCAGACACTGCTTACTTCATTCTTAGTCATATGTTATACTCTTTTTTTAATATGCTGCAGTAAATTGAACTATGTCTATGAACTTTCAAGATGTTCCTAGTCCTAGTACTCTCGGTGAGAGAGAACTGAAGTTCAGGTTGGGCTATCTGATCCGTACTGTGTTAAATAGGATTTTGGTGCAGATTAGTGGAATTTAAGTAAATGGTCTGGCTGGTTCTCTGATGATGCCCGTGCTCCATAACTGGCTTAAAGAAAATTGTCAGTTAATGAAGAGTGAAGTAAAAAGTGTCTGATGTTGAGAGAGTACACACAGTATTTGTTTTTTCCAGATAGGTGCGTGGTGTCTCAGAGTAATGGCAGTGCTAGAAAAGCAGACCAACAATGTGTGTAAAACTGGAATGTTTTCTTTTGCTTGAGTGCAACAAAAGTGTCACCATCAAAAAAAAAGAGTCAGAATTTGGACAAAAGTAATTTATTTATATGAGTCAAATGTCATAGTGTTTTTTAAAGTTACTGTATGTCTTACTAGGTTGAGACATCTCAGGCATATGTACTGGTGTAGTATTAATGCAGGTAAACTAAGCTACAAGTTGGCATTTATAAATTTTCCCCAGTTTTAGATGCACTCTGATGAAGGGATTCTGCACTAATATCCCTGGAACTGAGTTCATCAATGTCAAAACACTTAGGCTTTTTTCATTTTCAGAACTGCCATTTCCTAGCTAGTGGAAACACAAGGACAGAAGTTTGCAGTTTAACTCTGTAGGCTTTTTATCCTCTCAAGATATCTCATCATAGTGGAAAACAGGAGTAACTTCACTGAACTTCTTTTAGTGGCATTTTGCCAAGGTAAAATTGTCATGAGTGAGAGAATGAAATCAAGCCGACAAAGATTAAGCAACCACATGTTTTTATATATTTCTACTTTGCATGACTGGTACAGCTTTTAAAGTTGTTGTCATCTATCCTGAGGCAAAGAAAAACATCTTATTGTCTATAGGTACAGTGCATGCAGGAGACTCTGGTTTGAGAGCAACAACATATACAAGCTTATTCTGCCTGTTTTCTTAGATTGGATAGGTCATGCCTTTGCCTCACTGTTGGTATGGGTTAGGCTGTTAACCCAACCTCTGTTAACACCCCGTCTAAAACCACACTCCGTAAACATGCAGCCAGTTGGCCAGAAGAAGAGCAATAGCCAAAAACACTGTCTCCCCCTGCCAAGGAAAACCTGTGGTCAAGAGTTCTCTCTCTGCTGCACCACACAGTGACGGTGACATGCCAAATGGCAACAGCATCTGCAGCAGAGCTTGTTAAAAACTTTTTGGAATAGGCAAGTGTTTTTTCAACGTAAGCATAGCTGAGCCAAACTAAATACTCCTTGGCTGAATAAATCTAAAACTGGCATCTGTTTTGGGGACTAAAGTTTCTGTAGTTTGCTCTCCCCCACACACTCCCTGCCTTTTTTTTTTACTGGAAGTGTGAGGCTACTTAAGAACAAGATTAAATTATTGATGCATATGGTGAGAATTCCGTGCTTTAATAGCTGAAACTGTACATTAATACAAATTACTTTTTAATCTGGATAAGCAGGGTTTGTCCCAAAACCTAACGTACGAAGGCACAGTCCTTTCAAACAGAAATTGCAATCAGTTCCAGAACACAGTATGGTGAACAAGCAGCACCTTTGCTTCTCAGGGGCTTTTTGCCGCTCTTCCAGAAAAATTCTACATACATTAACTCTTTAAGAGTAAGAGGCATTATTCAGAGCTCCAGGACCTTTCCTCCTTTTCAAATGCAGAGTGTTTTTTAGCATTCTATATGCTAGTTTTGTACTTTGTTTTTGTTTAAGCATGCATGTGATGTAAAAAGCCTCTCTGTTTAGCTACCTCTTTGAAGAATACAAATCTATTAACAATACTCATCATGAACACAAAGTAGAAAAAAATGTAGGAAATATTCAGAGCAAAATTATTTCTTACATGTAAATTCATGAATTTTAAATCTGAATAATCTCTGTTATAGGCATGTTTGTTCTTATTATTAACTATATCACTTTGTTTCATGCATGCTCTGGCAGTGGTTTTTAATAAAGTTGAAAACAAGGGTGCCTAGTAATTTACCAGATTGCATCCTGCATTAGGAAGGAATTTCAGATTTCCCCAGATTCTGCTAATGCTATTACTGCTGGTGCATCCAGCACAGCTTAGGTTCTGTTTGACTGTCCCTACTCTCCGAAGAATGTACACGTTAGGCAATAGACAAAGTCATCTAAGCTTCCTTCAGCTAATGACTGCAGTAATTAGAGAAGTTTGGGGGGACTTTGGGCCTGTTTCATCAGCTGCCCAAATCCGTGGCAGGTGGACTAGCATTTTCTTTGTGCCTACATGAAAGAATGCAGAACAGTCTCCTCTAGATGTGAGACCCAGATGTGAGACCAAATCCTTGTGGCCTCATGGAAGTACGTACCTGAGCAATGCAAGCATGATTTGGCACACAGCAGTCATAATGCTGTTTGGTGACATGTGTGACTTCATTTGCTTCTATAAAATAAATAGGAATAAATGATACCAGTATGGATACTGTCTGATGCCAGGGTTTTTAGAGAAAGTAGATAGATGGCAAAAGATTTCACACCCTTGACTGGTTCATAACCACTTTGTAGCAGGAAATGAAAGCCACTCTGATAAATGCATACATTGTCTGATATATAAGCACATCTACAGACCACAAACAGGATATGTGGTTCATTCATGTTATGTTTCTATAATAAGCAATTTATTTATCTATGTGTACTTTAATCAGTTCGTATTACCTGGCATTTATAGAAAGCCAAGGTGCTGGTTTCCTGGTTTAGTTTTTTCAGGAGGCTGTTCCTTCAAATATTAAAGTATTGTAGATGACATTCCAGAACTGATTTAATTTATCACAATAGTCTCAGTTTCCCTCACAGTGTGCCTCCCAGTCAGATTATCACTTAATGCTTTAGAACTGTCCTAGTAAATGAATGAGCGAACATCTAAATCAATACTGCTTTCTTCTTAGATTCAGAGCTGAGTGGATAAAACCTTTATGCTGCCCACCAAAAACACACATTGATTTTTTATTAAAATGTATTGCATTAGAAAGTGGAGGAAACATATAGCTCTAAGTGTACATGGTAAAAATATGCAGAATAGCACGTGTTGCATATTAACATGAGGTTCAGTAGGCTGAGAATATTATGAACTTGGAATTGGTGGTGGTGCCTTTGCCTTAATATACTGCTTACTTACAGTTTGTTTTTGAAGTTTTAAAGTATTCAAGGTTTTATAACTTGGAAGTGCAATACCATGTGGATTACCAGAGTGAAAGATAAATAGTGTGCACTGAACCACTGGAAGGCTGTGTCACAGCAGTTCTTTTCAGTGGAGCTGATGCCTCTTGTATCTCGATTTTGCAGGGCATTGATCTTTACCTTTAGAGATTTATGAGCTCTGAAAGGAGGTATAAAAGGCAGGCAGGTGATGAAAATAATTGAGCTTAAAAATACAGTTTTCAATTTGACCTGTTATTTTTTTCTTCTACCCGCTCCATTCACCCCTTGCTGGATATGTAATTTTGTGAAATTTAAGTAAAATGTAATATGAGTGGCTTGGCTGTGCTTGTCTTCCTGATAGAATCTGTACAGCTCTTTAAAAAAGAAATAGATTATTTCCATATCAGAACTATGTAGGGTTGTGGGATATTGGTTTTGCCTAGTATACATTACTAGGTTGAACAGTAATAATAAGCAAATTAATCTGAAAGTGTCTATCAGATGTAACAGTGAAAACATAGCCAGAAAAGAAAACAGACCGGCAATGACCATGTTGCTATTTATAATGGTAAAATATCCGTATTAACTGAACCTTGTAATTTACCTAGTAAGGCTGGACAGCTTTGGGGGAGGAGGAGAGATGTGGTAGAAATTGCAGTTAGCCAGTTGTCATCAGCACTAATTTTTATTTGACCTAATGAGACTTAAGGGTGCAGAACCTACCGGTGGCTGTGAAAATCCCAGTCCAGGCATTGCCCAGCTCTCCATCAGAGAGGAAAAGCAGGACTGGCTTTTCAGGTACCTGGGTGCATTTCCTATGTCTGTCAGACACGCGCTGCTTGCTTTGTCCAGAAACACAGCATGTCAGCCAAGTGGCAAAGCCTTGGCTGCAAAGGTGGATGGCTTTCCTCAGATACAGGTTGGGGCCTGTGTTTGGAGGGAGTCTTCTGTTCCTTCTTGTTTTACAAATAACATGTGTTTCCATGCCTGTGAGCTGTGATGGTGTGACTTCTGCAAAGTGAGAAATGGCTGAAGTAATCTCTTGCCCCCCATCCCGGTTTGGTACTTGGCTCAGCTGTTGCAGTAACTCTTGGGTGCAGATGCAAGAGCACTGTCCCAAGAGCAGTGTTATCCTGGGACAGCTGGTGGACTTGGGAAGGGCATCCCTCTTTGGGCCCAGGTCTGTGAGATTTCCATACTGATTTCAGGCAGGAGTCTGGCATAGGCAGTCAAGTTGGGGTCAGAGCCACTGAAGCTCTAGATTTAGCTGTTTAGCATTTCATGACTGAAGATATTCTGTTTACTGTAATAAAACATTTGAAGTCCATGTCTTCCTATCAAGCTGGCTGGGAAATGAGTTGCTTTAGCAGAACACCATGCATTGCTTCAGGGCCAGAAGGTTTTTCTTTGTATGATTCTGGACAACTGAGCAGAAGTAAAAATGTTGCATTTCTTCAGAGCTTTCAACAGCAATTGCTCATCTTGCCTTTCACAATAAAGCAATGAAAGCAGCCTAAGAAAAAAAATGTCCAAAGCAAAGTTTTCCAATATATTAAAAAAAAAAAAAAGTGACAAGATTTCCTGCATTGGTAACTGAGAAGTGTTTTCAGGGAGGGG